AGGGCACCCTTCCCGTCAGACAAGAAAGACAGCCAATCAGGGCCCAGTGTGCTTCGCTATCAAATCCCCCTCTAGCCTTTCCATAGCCAGGGGAAGTGTGGCATTTATGCTAAAGTCATTCCATCTCAGCCCTCAAACCAATGAAGGCTTACTTTTGAAAGCAGTTAGATATTACCTTTAATTATGGATTGATGTATGTCCCCATAAAAGGTATGTAGAAATCCTGGTTGCTGGGAATATGACCTTGTTAAGAAATAGTCTCTGAAGATATTATCAGTTACCACGAAGTCATACTGGAGTAGAGTGGGCCCTAATCTGTTAGTATTAGGAGTGGTGTCCCTGCAAAAGAGACACACCGGGAACACAAGATGTGAAGGAGACAGATTGGAGTGACTCAGGTAACATACACCAGGAACTGGAAGGAGGAACTGGAAGGATCTTCCCCTAGAGTATTCAGAGAGAATGTAACCCTATTAACACCTTGACTTTGCATTTCTGGCCTCCCAAAGCGTGAGAAGATAAATGTCTGTTGTTTTAAGCCACCCATTATGTGGAACTTTGTTACCTGCAAGGCTAGGAAAATAATAAAACCAATTTGTACATTTCATTTTCCTGTGAGGATCCAATAAAGCAGCATAATTTCCAGCTGGCCAGCAGATGGCAGTACAAGGATGGAACAGTGTGAGAAGAGGCTACCACCCGGAAGGAAGAAAAAAAAAAAAAAAAAAAACACAAGGTAAGAACCTTTCTGGCTTACAGATGTGTCATTTGGCCTGCATAGTACCAATTAATCATTTTTATATTACTTATATTACCTTCCAACATTTAAATATAGAGCTATTTCATAAAAAAAAATTTCCTTATTGTCCAGAAATATTTAAAAACCCAAACCTGCTGCCATTGAGTAGAACTGTCTCGTGGAGTTTCCAAGGCTGTAATCTTTCTCCCACAGAGTGGCTGGTGGGGTTGAACTGCAGCCCATTTGGTTAACAGCCTGATGCTTTAACCACTGTGCCACCAGAGCTCCTATATTGAAAACATTGGACTTTAATTCTGCCAGATTGGTGGTGACTGTCCTTTAAAGGGGCCAGTTTGGCCTTGCCTTTCTTCCATCTCACTTAAGTCACTGCTGGACACAGATGTTTCTTGCCCATACCTTTAGCCTAATCTGTGTACTTCATTTCATTGGTTTCATTGCAAAGTATCTTTAAAATTGCTAAGCAAGGAGAAACTAATGCAAAGGATGGGGACCTTCACAGCTGCCATGATTCAGAAGAGGATTTAAATGAGTTTGCATTGGACACTAAAAGATATCTGGCACATTGCCTTAGAGACAGAGGCCTTTAACTGTTGTTAAGCCAGTCCCATGAACAACAGAATGAAATGCCCAGTCCTGTCCTGTCCATATGAATGACTAGTTACTGAGTGGGCCATGTTGTTCCACAAAGTTTTCCTTTTTTCCTTGGTTGACTCTTGGCAATGGATTGCTAGGCAGTTCTCCTGAGCCTGCTTAGTCTAAATCTTGTTCTGTATCATAGCACCACTCAAGCCTCCACTGACCACTGGGTGGTGGCTATGCACAAGGTGCATTGGCTGGGAGTCAAATCCAGTCCCCTGCATAGAAGGTGAGAATTCTACCACTGTTCCTTGGTAGGATAAAGTAGACACATGCTATCAGAAGGAAGCTGTGGGCTTAAAGGCCTTTACTGATTGGACCTCAGGATTCTATGCCCCTGGGGCCTGGATGTGTTTGCCTTTTAGCACCACATCCTCAGTGTTCTACTGCCTCACAGGCAGGGAGGCATGAGGTTGATAGTGAAACAAAATGTGACCTCACTGAGATGTATAATCCCAGTTCCTTATCACCTCCTACCAGGAGACACACTATTGTGCTTCATCAAGTTGATGAGAGTGGTTGAGTAAGACTGTGCCATAAAGGGTAATTTTTCCTCCTCCTCATTTCTCTGATAGTTCATATATCCCTGAACAATGAAACAGGGTAAGGAAAATATTATGGAACACATTATCCAAATAAAATGCAGATGTTTTTCTCAACAAATCATTCACGATGGGTTTTTTGTTATGAATTCATTTTCTATTTTAAACTCATTTCTTAACACATCCTGGGTCCTTCCTAGGTCCTTCTGGAATAAAGCACCACTGATGGTGGTAGCCTTGTGTGTGTTCCTTGGGGAGTAGGAAGGACTCTTCCAGGACTCTTATAGTAAGAAGTCTTAACTGGCTGCTAGAACTACTACTACTTTCAGCTCTCTTAAAAAAAACACAGATGTCTAATAGTGACTCCCCCTGCCCTACGTGTAAGAGCATACGCAGCTCAAACCAGTGGTTGTAGATTGGCTATAGTCGCAGTGGATGATTCTAATTGTGGATGATTCTAATTGAGGACTAAAAATGTTTCAACAACACCCATTTCTGATCAAAACTCTCAGCAAAATAGGAATAGAAGGGACATTCCTCAACATAATAAAAGGCATTTATGCAAAACCAACAGCCA